CCAGAAATCTGGTTTTGATGGTGCTAAGGAACAATCATTTTGTCCAGACCCAATTGCAAAAAGAGGATGTGTTGTTGGTAATATACATGTCTGGAAGGGCTGGAACATGCAGATTCGCCCAACTTCTTCCTCCTGTGTGAATTATCCACCTAGGAAGGGACAACCAGATTGCCCAAAGAGCCAAAATGTTAATGAGATAACATGCTTCTGATGACCAAGTGCCCAGAACTCCTCCCCAACTGGACAAGCTGGCCTCAATTGTCAATCTTCCAGAACAAGGAAAGAAGTCATTTGACTGCAATGTCGGATCCCAGAGCCACCAGGAAAGGGACAGCCTTATTCTTACAAACCAAATTGTTTGTCTAGACCAGGGTTGGGCAAACTTTTTGACTTGAGGGCCGCAATGGGTTCATATATTGGACCCGGGGGCCGGACTAGCTGCTGGCCGGCCCAGCCACTACCATGCCATCCATAGTAAGTATAGTAATATTCCCCCATAGTAATTCATCCCCCCTATAGTAATTCATCCCCCCCTATAGTAATTCATCCCCCCTAGTAATTCATCCCCCATAGTAATTCATCTCCCCTATAGTAATTCATCTCCCCTATAGTAATTCATCCCCCCTATAGTAATTCATCTCCCTATAGTAATTCATCCCCCCATAGTAATTCATCCCCCCTATAGTAATTCATCCCCCTATAGTAATTCATCCCCCCTATAGTAATTAATCTCCCATATAGTAATTCATACCCCATATAGTAATTCATCCCCCATATAGTAATTCATCCCCCATATAGTAATTCATGCCCCCTATAGTAATTCATTCCTCATATTGTGTCAATTCACTTACCTTTGCTCCGCGCGTTCCTCTCGCCGTGTTCCCGCGCCGTTCCGGTCTTCAGGGCGGACTGTGAGAGGAGAGGAGTTCGTCACGCTGCCCCGCCTACATCCTGACAGCCAATGTTTGCCACGCTCCGCGGGCCGGATTAAAAGGTCCGCCGGGCCGTAGTTTGCCCATTGCTGGTCTAGACACAGCAGCCATTTATTCCATAATGGCAGAATATTGTGTTTGTATGTGCCTGGAGTAAAATTGGGCAAAAGGGAACTGTCATGAAGAAAGCTACCATAAACTGTGTTGTGTTGAATGACTTCTGATTGAAAAGAAAAAAGAGAAGACTTCAACTGGCAAGTCTGATGATAATCCTGAGAAAACCAGAGAATTTCTGGGAGTGCAGGATTCATCCAAATCTCAGCAATGTCTGGACAGCCAGAGACTCGTTCTCCAAAGCCTTTGCAGGCTGTTCCCTTAACAAAAAGTCATCCAAGTAGCTTATGATGGGAATTGTCTGTGGCTCTACCATCTGGTACATTGGGTGTTCACTCTGCTCTTTCAAAATGCTAGTACAAAGGCCCTGTGGTAAGACGCACAAAGCATTGGCGAGCTGGAAACATGAGCACTTGGAAGTAGCCATCTTAGGTCCCCTGAAGTCATTCCCTGACAAGTAGTGTATTCCATCGGGAACTTTTGAGGGGTAAATGTATACATTCAGTTCCTTGATGTCTCAGATGGGGTGAACACTCTGCCATTGGGTATTGGGAGTGAACAGGTTGGATTGAAATCTTTCTGCCACAGGAACTGAAGCTATAGCCCCTGGGCCAGAAAGCATCAGATGGGGAACAAGGGCAGGAAAAAAAAAACTAGGGTTTGTAACTCAGGGCTACCAACTCTTGCACCCAAGAATGAAGAATACATGATGTCCAAACATCAAAGTCTGACAGATGTCTCCCACACTGGAAAGTGAGGCACAGCTTCCTGCCAAGGAGGGCTTGTCAGTTGGTTTGACAGTTTTGGAGTGCCAAATTATGCTGCTGCATGCAAAGTAAATGCTTCTTGCATGCTCTGCAATCTCACACTTTAGCCATACGGCTCTCAGTATGTACTGACTAAGGCAAGGCAAGAGAACCGAAGCTTTAACGGGCCATTGCAGCTAAAGATCAACACCACAGACATTTATTCCAAGCGTTCTAAGGGTTTATGGCCACAGTGGTCAAATCCCTTTTTAAAGGGACTCTGTCCAATGTTTGTCAGCAGAGAATTACAGAGTATCCAGAAAGTAATCCCAGCGCTTAACTTTTGCCACATTTTGCTATGTTACATCCTTATTCCAAAATGGATTAAATTCATTTTTTCCCTCAACATTCTACAAACAATACCCCATAATGACAATGTGAAAGAAGTTTGTTTTGAAATTCATCTCAATCCTAAAGAGCAGAGCCTTTGCTCAATACTTTGTTGAAGCCCCTTTAGCACCAATTACAGCCTCAAGTCGTTTTCAGTATGATGCTACAAGCTTGGCACACCTATTTTTGGGCAATTTCTCCCATTCTTCTTTGCAGTACCTCTCAAGCTCCATCAGGTTGGATGGGGAGCGTCGGTGCACAGCCATTTTCAGATCTCTCCAGAGATGTTTAATCGGGTTCAAGTCTGGGCTCTGGCTGGGCCACCCCAGGACTTTCACAGAGTTGGCCCGTAGCCACTCCTATGTTATGTGGGCTGTGTGCTTAGGGTCGTTGTCCCGTTGAAAGATGAACTGTCGCCCCAGTCTAAGGTCCAGAGTGCTCTGGAACAGGTTTTCATCAAGGATGTCTCTGTACATTGCCGCATTCATCTTTCCTTCGATCCTGACTAGTCTCCCAGTTCCTGACGCTGAAAAACATCCCCACAGCATGATGCTGTCACCACCACTCTTCACTGTAGGGATGGTATTGGCCAAGTGATGAGCAGTGCCTGGTTTCCTCCAGACATGACGCTTGGCAATCAGGCCAAAGAGTTCAATTTTTTGTTTCATCAGACCAGAGAGTTTTGTTTCTCATGGTCTGAGAGTCCCTCAGGTGCCTTTTGGTAAACTCCAGGCGGGCTGCCATTTGACTTTTCCTGAGGAATGGCTTCTGTCTGGCCACTCTACCATACAGGCTTGATTGGTGGAGTGCTGCAGAGATCGCTGTTCTTCTGGAAGGTTTTCCTCTCCACAGAGAAACGCTGGAGATCTTTCAGAGTGACCATCGGGTGCTTGGTTAACTCCCTGGCTAAGGCCCTTCTTCCTCAGTCGCTCATTTTGGCTGGGCGTCCCACTCTAGGAAGATTCCTGGTGGTTCCAAACTTCTTCCATTTACAGATGGAGGCCACTGTGCTCATTGGGACCTTCAATGCTGCATACATTTTTCTGTACCCTTCCCCAGATCTGTGCCTTGATACAATTCTGTCTTGGAGGTCTACGGACAATTCCTTGGACTTCATGGCTTGGTTTGCGCTCTGACATGCACTGTTAATTGTGGGGCCTTTTATAGAGAGGTTTATGCCTTTCCTAGTCATGTCCAATCAACTGCATTTCCTACAGGTGGACTCCAATCAAGGTGTGGAAACATCTTGAGGATGATCAGTGGGAACAGGATGCACCAGAGCTCAATTTTGAGTGTCATGGCAAAGGCTGAGAATACTTATGTACATGTGCAGTTTTTTTTACATTTTTAATAAATTGCAAAGATTTCAAAACAACATTCTATAACCAATACCCCATAATGACAATGTGAAAGAAGTTTAAGGGAAAAAAATGACTTTAATCCATTATGGAATAAGGCTGTAACAACAAAATGTGGCGAGAACAGAGTTCTGAAAAGGTACTTAAGCAGCCCATAGGTTGAGTCCCTGAAGGCAGGGACACGCTTCACTGGTATGATTTTCACCTTTATAAGGCAGGAACTGGCCAAATGCACTTTTTTCAGAAGACCTCACTGAGCTGGTACAGAACCAACGTGCCAGAAAGGAACAAAAAGCCAATCATGAGCACCCCGATTAGCCTATATTGATGTTGTATCTAATCTTCATATACAGCTGTAAAAGCAGATGCAAAGGGAAAGTTCTGTGGCCTTGGGGGCCCATTAAGACCATGGTCAGAAACAATACTTTAGAAACAACAGGCTGATCTCTAAATTCAGCGTTGCACACTGCAACAAGGGCTGATACAGTCACCTTTAGGGCTCATGTACATGGGACATTTGGAAAACTCTCCTGACTGCAGGGAACAGACTACTAGAAAACATAGGTTAACCACTTCCAGACCGGACACTTTCACCCCCTTCCAGTCCGGACACTTTCACCCCCTTCCAGTCCGGACACTTTCACCCCCTTCCAGTCCGGACACTTTCACCCCCTTCCAGTCCGGACACTTTCCCCCCCCCTTCCAGTCCGGACACTTTCCCCCCCTTCCAGTCCGGACACTTTCCCCCCCTTCCAGTCCGGACACTTTCCCCCCCTTCCTGTCCGGACACTTTTCCCCTTCCCCCCCCTTCCTGTCCAGGGCAATTTTCAGCTTTCAGCGCTATCACACTTTAATGACAATTGCGCGGTCATGCAACACTGTACCCAAATGAATTTTTTACCATTTTTTTTGAGACAGATAAAGCTTTATTGTGGTGGTATTTATTCACCGCTGGGATTTTTATTTTTTTTTGCTATGTAAATGAAAGTCCAAAAATTTTGAAAAAAGTGTTTTTGTTATAAAATTTTGCAAATAAATAATCTTTCATCATAAATCTTGACCAAAATGTATTTCTTTATATTTTTAGTAAAAAAATAATAAGCCAAATTCATTAACCAAAAATTATAATTTTTAAACTTTTTTTTACATTTTTATTTTTTTTTATGGTTTTTGTACATACTGTCACCCTAGCAGTACAGTGTCACCATGGTGACACTGTACTACTTGTGGGGGGTGATGAAGATTTTTTTTTTTTTTTTACACTGATTGCTTTTACACCCATATAGGATGTAAAAGCAATCATTTCTCTCTGTCTGCATTCTTGCAGTCATTGAGAAATACTGAGTGAGCTGTGATTGGTCACAGCTTGTCACATGGTACAAGGCTGTTGTGAATAGCCTTGTACCATGTGACCTCTGTGATCATTCACAGATTTCACACGTAATAAGCAATGATGTCACAAGTGACATCTTGCTTACTACTTTGCATGTGATCACTGATTGGCCAATCAGTGATCACATGATCGTGACCTCATACAGAGGTCCCGTCCAAAGATCGGTGTTTCACTGGGTCCGGAGGACACAGCGAGCACTGGATCGCGGTGCTGCGCGCTCCCAGGGAGCGCGCACAGCTAGTAAAGGCGGGTGCCGTTTAGGAACAGCAACTGGTCACTGGAGTGCCACCACCCTGCCGTTTATAAACAGCAGGCGGACGGCAAGTGGTTAAAAAAAAAACCATCAGTTTAGCTTCATTTGCATACCGCGTCTAGAAGCGTTTTTAAAAAGATAACCTCAAGAGACCATCCCAAATGCCCAGAATAATAATTAACTATTTCAGACATTTTGAGAGGAATAGAGAGCAGAAGCAGAGAGAGCAGTATGTGTTGAGATGACCTGTCTTTTCTAGTTGTATTCACTATGGATCCCATCATGAGCATAATGCGGCAATATCTACCATTTTTTCCTTCACGCGAAACCTAGAACTGACTGCGCTGGTATACCGGGTCCATTTGAATACATGGAAAAAGCTTTGCATGCATTTTTGATGAAGGCTCTGGACAACATCTGGATATGGACCTGCCAAAAAACGCATCTAAATGCAAAGCTTGTAAACACAGTTAACCGCATTTGAAACGCCAGTAAAATCTACTCCTGAACACAATTTTGGTGCGTTCAAAAAAACAAAAAAAAAACAACTAAACTCAACTGCCTGTAAAATGACAATGTGTACACGGACACATAGGAAAACAAAGCAGAGTTCAGGGGCTGCTGGAAAAAAAAAAACTGCTGAACAGCTCCAGAACGTCAGTTTAGCAGCTGCAGTGTACATGAGCCCTTATAGTTGGACTGTGAGGAAAAAAAATATTTTCTCCTTTGATAAAAAAAGATTAATCATCATAATGTGTGATCTGTTGGTGAATGGTGCTGTGTTACAGTGAAGGAAATAAGTATTTGCTCCCCGGCTGATTTTGAATGTTCGCCCACTCACAAAGAAATGATCGGTCTAAAAATCGAATGGTAGGTAAATTGTAACACAGAGACAGAATAGCAACAAAAAAATTCAGCAGAAATGCATGTCTAACAAATGATGACTGATTTACATGTTCATGAGAGAAATAAGGATTTGATCCCCTTCACAAAACATGACTTAGTATTTGGTGGCAAATCCCTTGTTGGCAATCACAGAGGTCAGACGTTTCCTGTAGTTGGTCCCCAGGTTTGCACACATCTCAGGAGGGATTTTGGCCCACTCCTCTTGGCAGATCCTCTCCAAGTCATTAAGGTTTGGTGGCTGAGGTTTGGCAACTCGAACTTTCAGCTCCCTCCACAGATTACCAATCGGATGAAGGTCTGGAGACTGGCTAGGCCACTCCAGGACCTTGATGTGCTTCTTCTTGAGCCACTCCTTTGTTGCCTTGGCCGTGTGTTTTGGGTCATTGTCATGCTGGAACACCCATCTACGACCCATTTTCAATACCCTGGCTGAGGGGAGAAGGTTCTCACCCAAGATTTGACGGTACATTGCCCCATCCATCGTCCCTTTGATGCAGTGCAGTTGTCCTGTCCACTTAGCAGAAAAACACCCCCAAAGCAGAATGTTTCCACCACCATGTTTGACAGTTGGGATGGTGTTCTTGGGGTCATAGGCAGCATTCCTACTCCTCCAAACACGGCGAGTTGAGTTAAAGCCAAAGAGCTCGATCTTAGTCTCATCTGACCCCAACACTTTCAACCAGTCCTCCTCTGAAGTTTGCCACTGAACATCTGAATGATGCAGACGGGCCTGGACATGTGCTTTCTCGAGCAGAGGGACCTTGCGGGCACTGCAGGATTTCAGTCCTTGTCAGCGTGGTGTGTTACCAATTGTTTTCTTGGTGACTGTGGTCCCATCTGCCTGGAGATCATTGACAAGATCCTCACGTGTAGTTCTGGGATGATTCCTCACTGTTCTCATGATCATTGACACTCCACAAGGTGAGATCTTGCATGGTCCACCAGACCTGGGGAGACTGACAGTCATTTATTATTATTATTATTATTACTACGAGTTTATATAGCGCCAAAGGGTTTGCTCAGCGCTGTACAATAGGGGGGACAATACATGGCACAGTACAACAACAACAAACAATGTACGAGGGGTAAGAGGGCCCTACTCTTACGAGCTTACAATCTAGGAGGGAGGGGGTAAAGGTACAGTAGGAAGTGGCTGAGGGGGATGAAGTGGTGGGAGGAATGAGGGAGGATGGCCGTTAGGTGAGGGTGGGGTAGGCTTCCCTGAAGAGATGGGTTTTGAGGAGCGCCTGAATGTGAATAGGGAAGGCGACAGTCTGATGGATTGGAGCAGTGAGTTCCAGAGGATGGGGGAGGACCTGGAGAAGTCCTGCAGTCGTGCATGGGAGGAGGAGACCAGGGAGCAGGATAGAAGGAGGTCCTGTGAGGAGCGAAGGGTACGGGTAGGGTGGTACTTGGTGATAAGGTTGGTGAGGTAGTCAGGGGCAGTGTTGTGAACGGCTTTGTAGGTCAGGGTTAGGAGTTTAAATTTGATGCGTTGGGCAATCGGGAGCCAGTGGAGGGAGAGGCAGAGGGGGGTGGCAGAGGTGGAGCGGGTGGTGAGGTGGATGAGTCTGGCAGCTGAGTTCAGGATGGTCTGGAGCGGGGAGAGCCTGCACTTGGGTAGGCCAGTGAGGAGGGAGTTGCAGTAGTCAAGGCGTGAGATGATGAGGGAGTGTACTAGAAGTTTGGTGGTGTCTGGGGTGAGGAAGGAGCGTATCTTGGCAATGTTGCGAAGATGGAGCCTGCATGTGTTTGTAAGTGATTTGACATGCGGTTGGAGGGAGAGGTTCGCGTCAAGAATGACGCCAAGGACTTTGGCTTGCGGGGCGGAAGTGATAGTGGAGTTGTTGGTGATGATGGATAGGATGGGGGGGGGGGGGGGGGGGGGGGGTGTTGGCAGGGGGAAAGACGAGAAGCTCGGTTTTGGAGAGGTTGAGCTTGAGGAAGTGTAGCGACATCCAGTCTGAGATGTCATTTAGGTGGTGAGTGATGCGGGCGGAGATAGTGGGGGTGAGGTGAGGAGTGGAGAGGTAGATTTGGGTGTCGTCAGCATAGAGGTGATAGTTGAAGCCGTGAGATTGTATGAGTTTACCCAGGGAGGAGGTGTAGATGGAGAAGAGAAGGGGTCCAAGGGCAGAGCCTTGGGGGACCCCAACAGAGAGGGGGAGGGAGGGGGATGTGGCACCATTGTAGGTGACACTGAAGGAGCGTCGGGATAGGTAGGATGAGAACCAAGAGAGAGCAGTATCTCCGATGCCAAGGGAGAGTAGTTTATTGGAGGAGGGGGTGGTCAACTGTGTCAAAGGCCGCAGAGAGGTCCAGGAGAAGGAGGACAGAGTAGTCGCCCTTGGCTTTGGCGTTGAGTAGGTCGTTAGTGATTTTGAGGAGGGCAGTTTCAGTGGAGTGTAGGGGACGGAAGCCGGACTGTAGAGGGTCAAGGAGGTTATTTTGTGTTTCTTCCATTTGTGAATGATTGCACCAACTGTTGTCACCTTCTCACCAAGGTGCTTGGCCATAGTTTGGTAGCCCAGTCCAGCCTTGTGTAGGTCTACAATCTTGTCCCTGACATCCTTGGACAGCTCTTTGGTCTTTGCCATGGTGGAGAGTTTGGAATCTGATTGTTTGATTGCTCCTGTGGACAGGTGTATTTTATACAGGTAACAAAATGAGATTAGCAGCACTCCCTTTAAGAGACTGCTTCTAATCTCAGCTTGTTACCTGTATGAAAGACACCTGGTAGCCAGAAATCCTGCTGAATGATAGGGGATCAAATACTTATTTCCCTCATGAACATACAAATCAGTGCAGCATTTGTTAGACATGCATTTCGTTTGAGTTTTTTTGTTGCTATTCTGTCTCTCAGTGTTACAATACACCGAACATTCAATTTTTAGACCGATCATTTCTTTGTGAGGGGCAAACATTCAACATCAGCATGGGAGCAAATATGGATTTCCTTCACTGTAGGTAAAGACCTTTATTCCTTCTAACACCACAGTAAGCAATGAACTCCCAGCTCTCGCACACAATGAAGGCTAAGAGGGGAGATGTACTAAAACTCATGCATTCAGAATCAGGTACAGCCGTACATAGCAGCCAATCAACTGCTACCTTCAGCTTGTTCAATTAAACTTTGGCAATAAAACCTGGAAACTAACTGGTTTCTATGCAAAGCAGCACCAGATTTTTAATTCTCCCTTTTTTTTTTTAGGAAATAATGGGTGTTGCTTGCACTCCATCTCCTCTACCTATACATTCTTTTGAGAGAATACAAAGTGTCCTGTGATTGGAGAGACGATCATGACATTCTTCAATCCCTTGTCCAATCACAGAACACCTTGTATTCTGTGAAGAGTACATGACTCTACTACACTGCGTAGAGACGGTGATGTGGGTCATTTGCAATGCACCACCTCTATTCACAAAACGTTGAATGTAATTTTGAAAGACAAAAGTTTAGCTCTTACAGCACTGTCAGAATGAACATTACATTTTGATGGGGAAAAAAAAAAATTATTAGATTTCCAAGAACATCACAGAAAAGAGACAAGGTAAGGAAAATTAAATGTCAGTATTGTACAGCATTACAGAGGAATGTATGCAGTTTCAAAATTCAAGCACATAGAAACGCCCAGAAATATATCATGGGAAATTATACCCGGGACAAGAATGAACGTTTTGACTAAATCAACAGCATCAGCCAATGGGACCCACATTATTAGTAATCCCAGTTTGAAAAAGTCTTCATACTCCTTAAAATATTCCACATCATGTTACAACCAAAAACAGAATTGTATTTTATTGGGATTTGATTGACCAACACAAAGTGGCACAGAATGTGAAGTGGAAGGAAAATGAGAAATGGTTTTCAAATTTTTTTTTTTTTTTTACAAATAAATCTGTGCAAAGTGTGGCGTACATTTGTATTCAGCCCCCCCCCCCCCCCCCCCAGAGTCAATACTTTGTAGGACCCCCTTTCTCTGCAATTCCAACTGAAAGTATTTTTGGGGATGTCTCTCCCAGCTTTGCACATCTACAGAGGAACATTTCTGCCCATTCTTCTTTGCGGAATCACTCAAGCTCTGTCAGGTTGGATGGAGAGTGTCTGGCCACAGATTCACCATTGGATTTAGGTCTGGGCCATTCTAACACCTGAATATGCTTTGACCTAAACCATTCCATTGTAGCTCTGGCTGGATGTTTCGGGTCATTGTCCTGCTGGATGGTGAACCTTCGCCCCACTCTCAAGTCTTTTTCAGACTCTTAGAAGAAAACCTGTTAAGATTTCCCTGTATTTGGCTCCATCCATCTTCCCCATCAACTCTGACCAGCTTCCTTGTCCCTGTTGAAGGGTATCCCCCACAACATAATGCTGCCACCTTCCAGGATGGCTACATGAGAGGATAACATCACCTGCAGAACTTTCCTTTCAAATGCCAAATCCTGGCTAGAAAACACTACACAGTAATGCTTTACAAAACCATGATTTCTGGACCAAACAGCTTCTCGGGAGATATCTCCCCATGAAACCTATTGCTCTCTCCCCATGAGGTTTCCACGTCCCTTGTGGGGTGTACATTTATCTTGGAGGATAGCTGTTGGCACAAGCTCTTGTATGCAACCAGAATACTCATTCCATCTAGCAATAGACCTCTTGAAGGCCCCAAGACCCTTGCTGGGCCCACTAAAAAGGATCAAGTGATGAGAGGATCTCCTAAAATCTCTGGTGACCTCCAGATTTTAGCAGACATTTTCTAGCATCCAAAAAACTAAATAAACTTCTTGGGGGACTACAAAAATGAGGGAAGGGTAAACACTTGGGAACAGTGAAAATTCTGAGGAGAATTTTGGAAGATACATAGGATCCAGCCTCAGAATCACTATCATTCAAGACAGACAATTAGGGATCCTTACAGGAGAACAACAGCAATTCTCCTACTTTTCTGGCTGAGGTGATGGCTAAAAAAAACCATTTTAAAAGAACCAATAGGGGGCTCAAAAGGTTCCTTCATTAGGACACCCAGCACCAAGGGCAAGTCCCAAGGAGCAACTATCTTGAGATTTCTGTTGGCGGAACAAAGGAGCTGTCCCAGAATTATCTTCACAAGGGAGTATTCTGCTAACCTGCGATCCAAAAATACCAATAAGGCAGCCACCTGCAGGGTGCTGGTCACTAAACCCTCATCTACTCCAGCCTGCAAAAAGTCTAGAACAGTGTAAATAACATCCAATCTTCCACAGCTAGACCCCCAGAAGTGAAATGCCCTCCAAACCTTAGAGTAAATTTTTCTGGTGCAGAGCTTCCTACTCAACAAAAGTGTTAATTACCTTTTCCGAACAACCTTTAGACCTGAGGATCCTCCTTTCAGTCTCTAGGCCATCAGGTGGAAGAGATGAGGATTGGGATGGAGAACTGACCCCCTGGAGCAGAGGATCCAGCTAATCCAGAAGTATCCAAGGGGGAGAAATTGAAAGATTAAGATCGAAAACCAACTCTTCCTTGGCCAGTACATGACTATGAGAATGACCGGACAGGATTCTAACAATTATCCCAACTACCTGAGTGAGAACCGTCCATGGAGGGAAGACATAAGCCAGGTTGAAGTCCCAACACATCTGTTCCCTGAGCCAATGACTTCCTCTCTAGGGCAAAAAAATGTCCAAACTTTTCCAGTTGTTGCTGGAGGTGAACAAACCTACTTCCGGAAGGCCCCGTTGGGCTGCAATTTGTGAAAAAACCTCATTCCCCGTGCCTCACAGGATTCCGACTGAGCTAAATTAGCCGGGATATTGTTTGTCCAAGCCCCTGAGAAGAACTGATCTTTGAGAGTTCAGATGAACCTCCACCCAACCCAAGAGCTCTAGGACCAGAGACCAAAACCTTGGTGACCTTGTGTCTCATTTATGTAAGCCACCGTAGTGGCTTTGTCTGAGAAGACCACAACTTCTCCCCTAGTTGAACTTCGAAAGCACTTTTGGGCATAACCTATGGCTAGCAACTCTCTGAAATTTTAAGAAATATTACCCATGCCTATTTCCCGTGTTCCTGGTGCGTGAAAAGATTTTGAATACGCCCCAGGAACTGGCATCCATGGTAATCTTTATTGGCCTTTTCTAAGTCCCAGGCTGCCCCTGTATCAAGTTGTGACAGTTAACCCCAGAAGTCTAAATCCAGGGCACTGAACTGTGGAAGATCCATCATCTTGTCAAGAGAGTTGTGGCTGCAGTCCCATGAAGCTAGAAAGAAGGCCTGTAGCCCTCTAGAGTGTATCTGAGCCCATGTGACCCCAGGAATGGCAGCAGTCATTAAACCAAGGATCTGCACAATCCTTCTCAGCTAAACTTGCTGCTGACTCTGAAGGCTCTAGACTAAAAACACCAAACCCTTGGACCTTTGGATTCTGTTTCTCACAGAAACACAGTGTAACCTAGGAATACTACTGACTTGGCAGGAACTAGGTTGGATTTTGCTCAGACCGACCACCCAGCCTAGGCAGCTCAGTTCCAACAAAACTATATCTAGGTCTGCTTTTAGCCTTTCCTTTGAGGGGGGGGGGGGGGGGGGGGGGATATCAACAAGGTCATCCAAGTAAAGAACAATAGTAACCCCTTGGAGCCACATAAATGCCATTGCTTCTGCCAAGATCTTTGTTTATATTCTCAGAGCTGCCACAAAACCAAATAGGTGTGCTTGTAACTGCCAATGCTGCAATACCTGACTCGAACGAATTGCGAAACTCTGGTATTTTTTTTTTTTTTTTTTTTTTTTTTTTTTTTTTTAGAAGATTGGTGAATGGGCACATGGAGATAAGCATCCTGTAAACCTAAGGAAGCCATAAAAGACTCCTTGAGAGAGCAGATTCAAACAGAAAGCATTTATACAATAAGGAAATTGCTTGTACAGAAGGTGAATGCTCAATTTCTATAAATTGATAATCATCCTGAAACTGCCAGAGACCTTCTTGACCAAAATATACAAGAGTAAAACCCCCCAAAAGTGCTGACCCACCAGAACAAAGGCTCCCTGGGAGGCTAAATGGGACATTACCCTCAATAGTGCTTTTGCTCATCCCTTAGAAGTTTTAGCACAAAGAAACTTTGAGGCGGGGGAGAGACAACCTCCAACTTGTACCCCTCCTAAAATCTAAAGAACAAAAAGGGGTTTACCATCTTGTTTCCAACTTGCACAAAAGCAGGCCAGCCTTCCCCCCACCTATCCTGGAGTCACTTATCATACTTGGGTGCGGGGTCTCGTGAAGTAAGCAAGGCACCACCGTTGTTATCGTTTTAATCAAAAGACCAGAGCTTCTTGCCAAGCTGCAATTTCATGGCATCAAACTGTGTTTTGCCCTGTCTACCCCAAAAAAAAAGGTACCCTTGCCACAAGAACTCTTTTTGACAGGAAAATTACCACTCTTCTCAGTGAAACGAGACAAAAAAAAAAACGGTCTGAAGTCCCAACCCAGAGTGAAACTTGCCCTCAAAAGGCAAACCACATAGCCTGGTTTTGGAGGATAAATTCCCATCCCAGGTCTTGAGCCAGATGGCCCTGCAAGCCAAATTCAGAGAGCTGTAGTCCTAGCATTCTCTGCCGCTGCATCTGCTGGGAAAGCCACTGACTTGGATGGTAGCAGAAGAGCCTCATGGACCTGAGCTATAGGAGTGTTGGCTACAAGAAGTTTATCCAGTTTGTCTACCCAAACGTCTAGGTTACTAGCCAGGCAAGTGGAAGCTAAAACTGGTCCCAGTGAGGCTTCCCAAGCCTTCTTCAAAAAGGACAGTGCCTTCCTATTTGATCTTTAATTAGTCCTGAATCCTCAAATGACGGGGGGACGGGGGGGGGGGTGTCTAGCTTAGAGAATTTGAAATTTGATGTCTTCCTCAGAACTGAATGGAAATTTTTGTTTATGGCCCTTTGAGAGGAATAGCCTCCCTTCTGGGTCCTTCCACTCTTAGTATCCATCATATCCAAAAGAGGCTTATGGCCAGGAAAAGGTCTGCTCATCCTGTAGACCCCTATACATGTGTCCTGAGCAGATTGAGGGGGAAGGTCCTCATCAGTTGTTAAAGGCCATTTATACATCCAAACAGATTGCAAAGTCTCCTCCCACAGGAGAAAAAAAAAAATACCTGCTAGCATAGCCTTCTTGAACATTTTTTGCTCTTCCTCTGAACTCACCTCCCCTGACGACTGAAGAGGCCCCCCATTGGAACCAGAAGCTGCCTGAGTATCCAAGGATGGCAAAACTAAGGAACAGGGTTCACTAGGAAGAGGACCAGCCTGAGAGGTAGAAGTCCCGTCCAAAAAAGTAGACCTAAGAAAGAGCGGAACTGGGCTCAGACCTGCCCCTGCTCACTCCTCATTGGATGAGATTGGCTCAGAGACAGCAGCAGGAGCCATTGATCAATGAGGATGCAGAGAGATGGTACAGCAGTAGCTTTTGTGCAGGTTGCTGAATCAGACGCATACAACTACTGTCAGCGAGTGCTGTAGCTGTTGGGAATGCAACAGCATGTACTATATAGTATTGTGTTAATATCACTTGACCAGTAGATGGCACTGTACACTAAGGTTACCAGTTGTGCATGTGTGTAAAACTTGTTGGTTCTCTCTTCCTATTCTTCTCTGTCTTCAAAACCAAGATGTCTGCTGAAATGTGTTCTGTATATTTGCAACTTAAGCCACACAAGTAAAATAGTGTTCTGCCTTATCACAAGCTACCAGTGTCTTCTCTAACACACAACCAACAGTAGCGACCACCGGCAAGAAGCCTCAACAGTTCAGAGCAAGGAATATAATCACCAGCACACCAGAAAACTCCACAACGGGTCCAACCCTTTACTGAACAATCGCAGCAAAGTTTCGGAGCCACCTAGGACCCCTTCATCAAGTATGTGGCCCAGCTCCTCAGGCCCTTTTTATGTAGCCGCTGGGAAGGAGCAAAGGGAAATACAATAGTGTCACTTTACATCCAAAAGTCATCACAGATCTCTCAGTAATGTCAGCAACCTGGGTCATGAGACTGCTGTGGATGTGGACACATGGGAGGCTTTCACAGGTCAACATGCATAAAGTGCTAAAATACACATATAATGCTATGGTAAGTTTGTTGCTGAAATAATGATCTGGAGACAGGGTCTCTTAAAGGCTTTGAACAGAGAGGGTGGGAGAGAGAAAACAGGCTGTTAACCGTGCCGAAAACTAAAAAAATTAGACCAGACCAATGAAATGTGCACAAAATGATACATTTATTGAAAGTTTTTTGTTTTTTTTATTTTATACAAAAAGATTAATGTACACAGTACTGTGTCTTACTTCCACAATTTCTCCTGGGAATTCCCTGGAAAATTTCAATAAAAATGCACACAAGCACAACAAAAAGATAAAACCAGATTAAATCAAAAGCTGAAGAGAAGAGAAGAAAAAAAAAAAAAAAAAAAAAGGAAAAAAAAAAAAAAAAAAAAAAAAAAGAAAAAGAAAAGTGAAGCCACCTCACAACGTCACATCTCCCTGAGCTCAGGAGCTTTGTAGAAAACTTGCAGCAGCAACAAAAGACCCTTCCTGCCGTAAACCCCGATCCCAACCTGGCTCCCCCTTCATGTCATAGACCTTGACCCCAGCCAGGCAACCCCCTTCCCATGGTAGGCCCACGGTCCACGACAGGCACTCCCTTCCTGCCGTAGACCCTGGATCCCAACCAGGCAACCCCCTTCCCATGGTAGACCCCCGGTCCAAGCCAGGTACTCTCTTCCTGCTGTAGACCCCGGTCCAAGCCAGGCACTCTTCCTGTGTAGACCTCTGATCCCAGCCAGGCACCCCTTTCCCATGGTAGACCCCTGATCCAAGCCAGGCACTCCCTTCCTGCCGTAGACCTCAATCCCAGCCAAGACCCCATGGCTGCCATTGACCCCAATTCCATGCAAGGCAAATTGGATATTTCCTATTCGTCTAATCTGGGATTGTCCTCCTATACCGCTATTACTGCAATCCAGAGAATACAGGGTTAAGTGGTAATCCTCCTCTAAGCTAGCATGGCAACATGGTGCCCAGCCAGGCATCTCCCTCTTGCTATAGACCCCAATGCTAGCAAGACACTCTTCCTGCCAATCCCCGTGAGGCATCTCCCTCCTATAGTGGACCCCAGTCTCAGCCAGGCACTGCACATTCCTGGTGATCCAAAACTCGGCACCCACTCTACCATAGACCTTGATCCAAACCAGACACCACCTTTTTGTCGTAGACCCCAGTCATAACTAGGCACCTCCTTCCTGTCATAGGCCTCTATCCCAGTAAGAACCATAGACCAGGTTTCCCAGCTAGGACCTCCCTTCCTGCCGCGAACCCCCAAATCCCAGCCAGGCACCTCTTTTTTTGTTGTAGTGCCAGACCCCAACAAGGACCCCATTCCTGACTTATACCCTGATCCCAACCAGACACCCTCTCCCTGCTGTAGTCCCCAATCCCAGCCAGGACCCCATTCCTACCTTAGACCCTGATCCCAACCAGACACCCTCTCCCTGCTGTAGTCCCCAATCCCAGCCAGGTCCCCATACCTGCATTAGACCCTGACCCCAGCCAAGCACCCCATTTCCTCCTGTAGACCCTGATCCCAGTCAGGTACCCCATATATAGGGATTCCTTTGTCAGTCCTGGACACCGATGCGACATGCAAGTTTTTATATATTTCCTCTTATTCTACTCTGGAATCCACCTTTTATAACATCACAACCTGTTTTCTGAGGAATATAGGGTTCAAGGTTATTCCTCCCCCTCAAAGCTGATTCAGTAACCTGGTGGGAAGAGAGGACAGTGATGGATAGAACTCCCAGCCAATACTATGTATATGGAAAGTACATGGCTCTTCACAGCAAAACAGTAAAGAGCAACAGACTTCAAGAAACTCCTGCCTGGGGGGAAAAAAAAAAAAAAAAAAAAAAAAAAAAAAAAAAAAAAAGTCTGGTTATACACTGCTCCCCCATCCCACCCCAGAGCATGCTTCTACCTGACTGCGTATTAGAATACACATCACTGGGTGAAGGAGAGCAGGCCTTGGCACAACAAGAGGGGTGAAAACCACATGTAAACAAGAGTCTCAGCATGTCTTAACAGTGACCTGGAGATGATGTAGAAGGTGGCACTTCACCCCCACCCCCCCTTCCCAGGCAGCAGCTCTGGACATGATCTGCTGGATGAGGAAATCTAGGTTATGACCCATATTCAAGTCTTGGTTTGCAGCAGAATTTGGATTGGGCTGAAATGTAGTATGCACACCTGGCCTAGATTCCATATTACTGCGTCCCACCCGACAGGTAAGACATCACACTGACAGAACGCATCCGCGGCTGGAGAAGCTCCAATAGCCACCAGGACCGTAAATGCCTGCACACATTTTGTCTATGGAGGTGGGCAGGTAAGAAACAGTGTAGACACGTCCGGCACCAGCTTCGCGTGCTGGGTGATTAAAAAGCTGGCCAAGGCGTCTTCTGGTGCCCTACAGACATTAGATCTAATTTTCCATCTCAGGAGACTCCTCTAACGTCTATGGGCATCTTCACCACACTCACGGACTGCCGTACCAATGACAAGACGGCATGTACGACCCTCCTGCGTGTCCACACATGTAGGGTCCTGCGTGTCCACACATGTAGGGTGATGAATGACTGCAGTACATTTCTAATGTACCACCTCAGGAATTCATACCCAAGATTTTGGGTATACTGGATGAGAGATAATGCCCAGACAGAAGGCAGATGGGACCCGGTACAACGGATCATGTCGGGAGTTGGCGAGGCTGATTGAGGTGGTCTGCAGACGTTACAGTCTGTCATACAGGAGCACTATCAATCCACATCCTCTCTATGGCTGAAACAACCAAAATCATGTGACCTAACCCACATGGGGCTCTGCAGTGGTCAGCCGCAGTGATATGCAGAGAGACGTGGCCTCCATTCACATGACAATAGTGTCCCTGTATGATCCAATCATGCCCAGAAATACAGTACATATGATCAGAAAGGCTTTGAAATACTGACAGCTGCGATATCGCAACTCCTGTAGTGCCATCTGAGTGAACAAATCACAGTTAACGCTTCAATGACAGACCAGAGAAACAAGATATGGACTGGCAGAGAAGGGTTAAATAATCCTTGATCACAAAACCATTTGCTATGTAAAAAAAAAAAAACAGATAAAAATATCACCCCTCCCCCTTTTAAACGCAGGAACCTAAAGTGAACCTGCTGCTTTACATAAATACTGAGAATCCACATTTAGAAAAATAAAAGGATTTGTAGTCCTTCCTCTGCTTTCCCTTAATAAAACTATTTCTCTGCTAGGCGCGGGCTGCTTGGGGCCCCGCCAGGGACAATGCTCAGTCCCACCCACTACAGGAGTGCATGTCCCTATCGCATTCAGTGCAATTCACCAGCTCTCAGAATCCCTAGAGGCCACTGAGCGACAGCTGAAATCTGGGTGGGATAAACAAAGCTACATTTGTAACCCCTCCACCCTCCCGCTGTGAGCCTCTTATCTTGCACACAAGCAAAAAAGTCTTAAAAGGGAAATTAAAAAAGTGAAAAGGCATCAATAAATAGGTGTTGCAGTCTGTATTGTGTCACCGTTTGGGGCCCTGGTGTTGGCTTCCCCATGTTCTGTGTCACTGTTTGGGGGCCCGGTGTCGGCTCCCCATATACAGCAGTCAGTCATTCTTGCTGTTGTGTGAAGTGTCCAAATTCACCACCTGCAGTTCCGTCAGATTACTGCTGCTGCTCGTCTGCTGTCCAATGACTGCCATCTGCGGGACAGAACAGATTACACATGACATACTGCCATCAGCTGGAAACAACAGATATTACACATGTGAGACTTCAGAAAGACTAGGGGCAGGGAATCTGGATATTTACCCACCCTCCCGTCCGGCCCATGTATATAAACAGCCGGACGGGAGTAGTGCAGGGGCGGGTGGCCGTTTATAAACGTCCTCCCCAGCTTCCCTGCTTGTGCGCACTCCCTGGGAGCGGGCAGCACCGCGATCCGGTGCCCGCTGTGTTCTGCGGACACAGCAGAACACCGATCGTCGTACAGGACATCTGTGTGAGGTCCCCATCATGTGATCACTGACTGGCCAATCAGTGATCACATGCAGAGTAGAAAGCAAGATGTCACTTCTGACGACATTGCTTACTACGTGTGAAATCTGTGAATGATCACAGAGGTCACATGGTACAGGGCTATTCACAACAGCCTTGTACCATGTGACAAGCTGTGACCAAATCACAGCTCACACAGTATTTCTCAATGGCTGCAAGAATGCAGCCAGAGAGAAGGAGAAATGATTGCTTTTAGAGCCTTTATGGGTGTAAAAGCAATCAGTGTAAAAAAAAAAAAAAAAAAAAAAAAAATCACCCCCCCCACAAGTAGTACAGTGTCACTATGGTGACACTGTACTGCTAGGGTGACAGTATGTTAAAATATATATACATTTTTGGACTTTTTTATATACCCAAAAAAAAAAAAAAAAAAAAAAAAAAAAAAACAAACACCAGTGCTGAATAAATACCACCAAAATAAAGTTTTATCCGTCTCAAAAAAAATGCTAAAAAAATTCATATGGGTACAGTGTTGCATGACCGCGCAATTGTCATTTAAAGTGTGATAGCACTGAAAGCTGAAAATTGGCCTGGACAGGAAGGGGGTAAAAGTGTCCGGACTGGAAGTGGTTAAAGGATAAGTTCACCAAAATAAAAAATTTTTTCAAAATAAATAATTCACATTTATTTTATATTTTTTGCACTGCAGTCTAAGGCATTGGAGCTGCGACCAGCATAGATCAGATTAATATCTAGGGGCAATCAAAGGGTTAACTGTATGCCTAACCTCTAGGGGCAATCAAAGGGTTAACTGTATGCCTAACCTCTAGGGGCAATCAAAGGTTAACTGTATGCCTAACCTCTAGGGGCAATCAAGGGGGGTTAACTGTATGCCTAACCAAGTGTAATGGGTGCGGCTTTTACTAACTGATGTGTTGTTTTTTTTCTCTGAGGAAGAAAAAAAAAAAAAAAAAAATGCCACACTGCTGCTCTGTGTACAGAGCCCTGTGTTGTTAGTAAGGCTGGCCTTACATCATACAATTTCTTGAGATTTCTGCTTTAGATTTACCAAAAAACATTATGAGGTCAAACCTAACAACACTTTCAATTGTATCCACTAAGTGAATGGTCGGTCCGGGCCCACTCTGCTTACAGCAAACGGGCACAGCCCACTCTCCTCTATGGACACAGACTACCTGTGGTTACACCTACCTGCCATCTGGTCCAAAACGCATGTCCTTTTACACCCAGCGCTTCATAGGAGGAGAATGGAAGGTCCGAATGAGTCCACCAGGAAAAAAAAAAAACAAAAGAAAAAAAAAACCTAAAATTATAAACCCTCTTACCCTAGGTTCACATCTGTGCGGGGGGTGCCGCTGCGGATCCGCACGAAACTCCATGCAGCCGCACCACCCGCACAGAGAAATGCGGACCCGCGGGCGGATGCCATTAATTCGAATGGCACGCCCCCCCACACTGGAAAATGCAACCGTACTGAGAACCGAGGTTCCCGCTCAGGCTGCATTTTTCAAAGAAGCGCAGGGACTTCTTCCTTGCGTGTCACGGGGTATGGGAGTCCATTCAAATGAATGGGCTCTCGTGTCCATGCAAAACGCAACCCGCACATATGTGAACCGGGGGTTAGTGTCAATGAATCTTCGCAATTCTTTATTCCTTCGATATAATAATCCAAGTGTATTGTCAACTTCCACCGTATACCTCAAAAAAAAAAAAAAAAAAAATTATTATTATATATATTTATATATATATATATATATATATATATATATATATATATATATATATATATATATATAAATAAAAAATAATAATGAATATGGAGGATAATACACTATCTAGTTTGATACATTTTTTTGGGAGGTATACAGCGGAAGTCAACAATACACTTGGATTATTATATCCAAGGAATAAACAATTGAGAAGATTCACTGACACCAAGAGGGTTTATAATTTATTTTTGGATTTTCAAGGGTGAAAGTGTGACTTTGAGTGTCAATTTCAGGGTTATTTTATAATTTTGTATAGAAAAAAAAATGATAGGTTCACTGGTGTGAAAGGGGCCCAATGAGGAAGGAAGAAAAAAGGAAAGAAGGAAAGCAGGAAAAGGAAGAAAAGCAGAAGACGACGACGAAAAAGAAAGCAGAAGACGACGACGAAAAAGAAAGCAGAAGACGACGACGAAAAAGAAAGCAGAAGACGACGACGAAAAAGAAAGCAGAAGACGACGACGACGAAAAAAGAAAGCAGAAGACGACGACGAAAAAGAAAGCAGAAGACGACGACGAAAAAGAAAGCAGACGAAAAAGAAAAGCACGACGACGAAAAAGAAAGCAGAAGACGACGACGAAAAAGAAAGCAGAAGACGACGACGAAAAAGAAAGCAGAAGACGACGACGAAAAAGAAAGCAGAAGACGACGACGAAAAAGAAAGCAGAAGACGACGACGAAAAAGAAAAGCAGAAGACGACGACGAAAAAGAAAGCAGAAGACGACGACGAAAAAAAAGAAAGCAGAAGACGACGACGAAAAAAGAAAAGAAAGCAGAAGACGACGACGAAAAAGAAAGACGACGAGAAGACGACGACGAAAAAAGAAAGCAGAAGACGACGACGAAAAAGAAAGCAGAAGACGACGACGAAAAAGAAAGCAGAAGACGACGACGAAAAAGAAAGAAAGAGCACGAAAAAGAAAGCAGAAGACGACGACGAAAAAGAAAGCAGAAGACGACGACGAAAAAGAAAGCAGAAGACGACGACGAAAAAGAAAGCAGAAGACGACGACGAAAAAGAAAGCAGAAGACGACGACGAAAAAGAAAGCAGAAGAAGACGACGAAAAAGAAAGCAGAAGAAGACGACGAAAAAGAAAAAGAACGAAAAAGAAAGCAGAAGAAGAAGAAAGCAGAAGAAAAAGAAGGAAGAAGAAAAGCCCGGGTCTCTAATGACTGAACAGTCTACTACGGGAAAGGAATGCGTTACTTATGTACCTGGTGAAGCTGCACTGCAGACACTGGAATCTGGACGGTGCCTGGCGGCGCTGTGAGGAACACTTGCTGTACTCCACCTGTAAGACAGACAAAAGCAGTCTATGAGGACAGACCATCTTGTAGCAGAGACTGCACACCATGCTGATGTCTCAAAGACCCCCTCCCACCCCTGCAAATGTTTGTGGGTAGATGAGGAAGAGTGCCAGTATACAGCATGCAGTTATCACTCAGGCCTTACCCTGCTCCTGCGAGTGGGACACCTGCATCTGGGAAGCCGAGGAGAAGGCATTGAGCACCGCCAGGCTCCCATCTGCCAAACCCTGAGTGGGAGCATACATGACAGCGTGCGGACTGGGGTACATCATGTGACCGCTCACTGTGGTGGGCACAGAGGAAGTCATGATAGCAGCGGGCAGGGTCACTAGTGGAAGAGACAGACAGTACGTTAAAGAGAGCTGTCTGTCATAGCACTTCATTGTCATCATAACCCCTCTCCCGGCTATGGCTACAGTGACCAGCAACATCCTCAAACACATCCATCGCTCACACAACGTCAGCTGTACACACACACCAGTCAATACTGGAAGAGCATCTCTGCCACACAGGAAGTGATGTCACTTACATACCCCAGTCTGATTCGTAACGACACATTGCGATAGGTGAAGGCCATCAGATATGAGCGTCCATTGGAGAACCTTTATTTCACTCTCTGCTCACCTGCTGTTTAAGCGAACATGTTCGGCTCGCAAAAGTCAGAGCATATAAAATCAATCTTCAAACTCGCTCCACCCCCCCCCCAAAAAAAAAAAAAAAAAAAAAAAAAAAACTGCATAGGTGCATACATATTGTACAAGATGGCTGACCAATCTTTTATTAACCACTTCCCGACCAGCGACAAACTTTACAGAAGCCAATTTTTTTGTTGTTGTTTAAAGCACCCCCAATCACTCTGTTCGCACATAAAGGTGAACGCAGACACACACTGAACGCACCAAATGTGAGGTATCGGTGCAAACGTCAGAGCGCAAGCAAGAATTCCAGCTCCAGACGTCCTGTGTAGCTCTAAACTGATAACCTGTAAAAAGGGCTTTTAAAATGTCACCAATGGAGATTGTAAGTACCGTAGGTGGTTACTATTCCACAAGTGTGTACAGTTTTAAAGCCTGACATGTTAGGTATCCATTTACTTGGCATCTTTTATATTTTATCAAACAATTGGGTATTACATTTTTGTTTTTGCACAAAAAAACAACAAACGCACACACACACACACACACACACACACACACACACACACAAACACACACACAAACACACAAACAAACACACACACACAAACAAACACACACACAAACAAACACACACACACACAAACAAACACACACACACACAAACACACACACACAAACACACACACACAAACAAACACACACAAACAAAAACAAACACACACAAACACACACAAACACGCACAAAAAAAAACAAAAACGAACTGCATTTGAAAATCTGCCGTGCAATAAAATAAAAAAAAATTGCAACACCCACCATTTTATTCTTCAGGGCTGCTGCTTAAAAAAAATATTTTTTGGGGGTTTTAAGTAGTTTTCTAGCAAAATGTTGATTTTTACATGTATGCAAGAAGTGTCAGAATTGGCCTGGGGGGGGTCAAGTGGTTCAAAGTACACAGCCAGCCGACAAGCACACCAATCAGCACAAGCACAGCAAGATTTTTATAGTTGCACAAACCTGTCCCGCTAGCTGACGTCTGGGCCAAATCTGAGCTGCTGTCGCTGGACGGAGAAGCCTGGGTGGCGGGGTGAACCTGGATGGCTTGTACAGGAACCTGCTGAGCTACAGCTCCCCCTGCTGGAGAAAAAGCAATCCTTTCACGGAAAAGCAGAAGCTGACCAGGTCTTCAAGATCGATCAGCTCCTGACGACCAGGGGCTTTTTTCTCAGACAATAGGTGCTGGAACGCAACCACTACACCCCCAACCCTCCCCCCCGCCCCATACACATTCACCCTCCAAAAAGCATCAAATAGTGAGTGTGGTCAACTTTCACTAACAGTTAGAGGGCCTTAAAGGGGCCTTACGCTCAGTGCAGAGTTCAGTGCTCAGAGTTTCAGGGAGATTACGCTCAGTGCAGAGTTCAGGGGTGCGCTGCATAAAGAGTGCAGAGTTCAGCCTTCTAACAGCTGCTTACCTCTGCATCCCCCCCCATCCACATCTCAATTTCACCTTCTTCTCGATTGCTCCCCACACACTGTAGGTGGCTCCGCTTCTCTCACTAGCAGGGAAATCATCCATTAGGGGTGTCCGCATCCGGACTGCACCCCGGGCACCCCTGCATCTCCATTGTCCTCATCCTGCACTCAGTGGAAGATGGTCAGGGGATCTGTGGAGGCCATTGGGAGACAAGCAGTCACTTGTAAACACAGATGCCGAACCTCTGTGTTTAGACGTGATTGTGGATGGGCAGGGAACAGAGGTCCTGGGGCAAGGAACAGAGGTCCTGGGGCAGGGATCAGAGGTCCTGGGGCAGGGATCAGAGGTCCTGGGGCAGGGATCAGAGGTGGTGGAACAGAGTTTCATCACATTCCAGCTTAAAAAAAAGCCCTGCTGACAGTACAAAGTGAAACATTTGGGTAAAGTATTTGTCAACAAGAACGAGCCTCGCAGAGTCTAGGCTGCCGTAACCAGTTGCCGCCTGGCCTAATGCCAGAGGGCAGCCGGGCGAACAGCTCGCCCCTCTGGGTGGAAGCCATAGGCCGTCCTTTCTGGAACGCGCATGCCCGCAGGGACGCGCTGTGGCGCAATCTGTCACTGGCCGTGTACCCCGGACACGGCCAATGACAGATCTTTGTACCGGCCCCGTTGCCAGTACTATGTGACCAATCACAGCAGGTCACATGACAGTTGTATACAATAGATGGCTTCCTTTCATGCCATCCATTGTATACTAGTGTGTCTAGCTGTGAATGGTCACAGCAATCACATGCACAAGCTGGGCCAATCACAGCTCAGCTGTGTCATGTGATTAGCCATGGCCAAATCACAGCTAATACGGGGGAAAAAAAAAAAAAAAAAAAAAAAAAAAAAAACCATGAATGAATCGATTTCATTCCGGTAAATGCTTGCTTATAGCGAAGAAATTCTTTGCTATAAGCAAATTGTGTAAAAAAAAAAAAAAAAATTCTCATCACTTCCCCAAAGTGGAATATGAAAAAAAAAAAATCTTAAAAAAAAAAGAAAAAAAAAAAAATATTGATAAGGTTTTTCAAACTGTCACCAGTGTCCCTGATCACCGCCGTGCCAGTTATAGGACGACGCTGTGCTGCACTGGTGACAGTATGTTAAAGAAAAAAAAAAAAAAGTGAAAATCATTTTTTTAATTTCTCCATTTCCAAAAAATAACAAAAAAAACAAACAAAAAAAAACTCGCCATGCCTGTTATGAAATACGTCAGACTGTCTACTTTGCAAAGAGGGGTCATTTGGGGGATATCTGTACTGTCCTGACATTTGGGGGATATCTGTACTATTCTGACATTCTTGGACCTCAAGAAATTAGATTGGCTGTCAGTACTTCAGGATTGATCAATATTCAGATCTATACCATAGTTTGTGAACTCTATAACTTTCCTACAGACTAAAAAATACATCCTAATTTGGGTTATTTTCAAAGAAATGTAGCAGAATACATCTTGGCCTAAATTTATGAAGAACAATTATTTGCAAACTTTTAACAAAAAGAAAAAGGTGTTTTTTTTTTCAAAATTTTTGGTCTTTGTTAATTTAGCAAAAAAATAAAAACCCCAGAGGTGAGTAGCCTCCCTGGCGGTATTCCCAAGTGTAGCTCGGGGTAAAGTTTCAGTACCAAAAGCGGTAACCCCCCCGAGCTACACTCGGGCTTACCATGCGACGTGCTCCGGCATCTGTTCTTCACTTACCTTGTCCTGCGCTCCCGCGATGTCCCCCCTGCAGTGTCCCCGGCAATGTCCTCCGGCCGATGCCGGCATCTGTCATCTGGGTTCCGTCCCCTGCGACGTCGGGACATACGGGGGACGGAACTGGCGGGAAATTTGAAAATGACAAAAAGTGACATTCACTAAAATCACATCGTATAACATTCCTGTATCAAACCATTTCACATACATTTTGTCCCGAGTGCTTTGTCCGGCGCCCTGCCTGCATTTTTACTGTTCTTTCTGCCTGGAAACTGAGAAACGTCCATGGCGTCCAAAAAGCGTCCCTTTAGGTCAGACGCGGTTTTAGACCAGCTAGAGAACAGCGATAGTAAATCAGAACCACTTGCAGAATTGAGTGATGATTCGTGGGGGAAATTCCTCATCAGACACTGAAAACAATTCTGCGACTTTGCTCAGCGATGTGCGAACTTGGCGCTCTATTTCACATTTCAGTGTTTTTGGTTTGATTATATTATTGAATAAAATTTATTATATTTTTTATGACTATTAAATTAAAATTTATGATTTTGTGTTTCAAATTTTATCCTACCCGGGATGTTTACTAGAGTCTAGACTCTTGTTCGGAGAGATTTCAGTAAGTTATTCCTAAGAATTACAGGCCTACAAAAAAAAAAAAAAAAAAAAAAAAACATTTCCATGCAAAAAAATGTACCGCTTTGAGCACAGAAATATGGACATAATCAGACCGCTAGGGAGGTTAAATACCACCAAAAGAAAGCTCTATTTGTGTGAAAATGATAAAATTTTAGTTTGGGTGCACTGTGTATGACCGCAAAATTGTCAAAGTGTGACAGCGCTGAAACCTGAAAAATTGGCCTGGGCAGGAAGGGGGTATAAGTGCCCTGTATGAAAGCGGTTAAAAATTATAACCCATATAAATCCAAAACTGGTTTAGGAGGCACTCATAGGTCTTGCAGAGGAGGAAGATCAAAAACTGCAGTTTGTCAAAACTATAATCCATATATTTATTGTCAAGGGAGGTGCAGGAAGAGACTGGATTTCAAAAGCAGCTTATAGTCCTAGAGCAGGGGTGGGCAAATTGCAACCCTCCAGCTGCTGTGGAACTACAAGTCCCATGAGACATTGCAAGCACTACACCCACAGGTATAACGGGAATTGCAACTGGAGGGACGCAGTCTTCCCACCCATCTGTGCTTTAACCACCTCCCGTCCAGCCGATTGTATATAAAAAACAGCCGGACGGTGGCAGGGGCGGGTGACAGTTTATAAACGGCCTCCCCGCACCGTGCTTGTGCACGCTCCCTGAAAGCGCGCAGCACCGCGATCCGGAGCCTGCTGTGTCCACCGGACACAGTGGAACACCA